TTTAAAAAAAAAAAAAAGATAAATTAGTCAAAAAAATCAAGTAGACATTACCACCAGTCTGAAATATCAAGGTAACAGCTTTAAGATAACTGAGCCCTCACTGAACTGCATTCACTATATGTAAACAGAAACCATGGGAAAAAATACATTTCTTGAGAAACTATGTGCGAGGTACTTTTCACAAGCTATTAATTTCTTATGAGAGGTGTGATCCTACGCCTTTGAATCATATAGAGCATTGTAAACTAATATTACCACTAAATTAAAAAAAAATTAAAAAGGAATTGCTACTGAAATAGCAAAAATAAATCCTGTTATATACTTTATATTGTTACAGTATGATATTGATGTGAATATGTTAACACATATTAAAAGTACAAATCCTATATGCTAACATAAAAATAAAAATTTTCTCATTAATCATTAAGGAGAAAAATATAATTAAGTAATATGTGCTATCACTGTCCCCATTTTATGGATGAGACAACTTATATGCACATGACTAGGTCATCTGTCTGGGTCACACAGCTAATAAGGAATGGCTCTCAAACTGAATATCTTGACTAAGAATATACTCATAACATGCAAATATTTAAGCACAGTTAAATATTAACATTTACAGTACAAATTCCCTGACTTTTATCAAAATATACCAAAGGCATTTGTACAGAAAACTACCAAACTGCCAAACCTCACTCACTGACTATATTCTATCTCTCGTAGTGATATCAGGATAATTGGTGTGGGTAAAATGAAAAACAACTATAATAATCTTGACAGCAAATATTAAGGATTCATAAGGATGAGGCAGGGGATTAAAAGCACACTATGATAGCAGCTAATCAAAAGCTGTATCCATGTAAAATTCAATTCTAATGGTGCTGAGTAGTTTGATAAATGATTAATCTATATCTCTCTCCATGTTTCAGTTTCCATTAATTTAAAAAAAGAGCAGCACAGCTTATATAAAAGAAAAAGACTAAGAATGGCATATGACCAGTAATATTAGAAGCTATAATACATTAATGCAATGCCTCTAAAACTTATAATAAAAACATATCCAACATAGACTTGTACAGCTAAATTACCAATTGTCAATTTAAACAGAAAAAAAAAGAAGTATAGAAAATCATGAAGATTCATAAGTAAAAGCAAATACTAGGATAGTAAGTATATGACAGGCACAGAAAACAATCAATATAGAATGCTCAAAGAAAGATGTTCACAAAATAAAAGTGGAAATAGCAGCCACCTTAAATTGAGAACAAATTTACTTCTAAGTGGTGAGAGATTGATGAAAGGGCACATTTTAAAACAAAAAAAAAGTGAGCACAATCCTTTTTATAAAAATAACAACTCTAGGAATGCAAAAATTTTATGATAGAATAGGTATAGAATTCTGATATACCAGAATTCAGTGGTGACAAAAAATTATGTTCCCAAAAAGGAACATATTGCATTAAACACTGATAACCAAAAGTGTGTCAAAGTGGTACCAATTTTGGGCATAGGGGTAGGGGGAGTCAACTTATGTAACTAATCTAAATCTTCTCTTCCATTATTGGAAGATACTATCTAAAACTGAAAACATAAGAAGTATCAGGAAAAGCATCACACACTGAAAAGCCAAAAGTTGAAACTACTATACCAAAATTTCAGAAATGGAAAGGGGACAGGGAGTATACAGGCAAGGAAAGATGTTCTTTTAGTACAAACCTTACAAATCTGACTTTTTAAATTGCAGAATATATTTTCATTGGATAGAATTTTTTTTTTCTTGCCTCAGATTCTCCCTAAAGCCTGTGGAAAGTTAACTTATGGCACAGCATTTCTAAGCTTTCCAATGAGTAGGCTAGTAACACTAAGTCATTTTTAGCTGCTTAATATGTTATGTATGTTAGGGCCCTCCCTTGTGGCCCTAAAACTAAGAAGCTAAAAGTCACTTTAGCATGAGGTTGATCCCCACCCCAGAGGTGATCCACTTGGCACTGCAGACCTCTCCTGACCTGTCTGCTGCTCCCCTCAGCAGTGCACTTCGTTGATCTGCCTGTTCTGATCCCCAATGTTTCTGGTGAATCCTCTCATCACCCCTGCACTTCTGGCCTGTACCCCATATCTGTATGCATAAATAAATTTTTTTAAAAGTGTCTATTTTGGATCTGATAAAATTTTAAATAATGGATAATATTAAATTATTTATCGTCATTTTATATCTTACATAATTTTTATTGTAATATGAAAATAAAATGAAATTAGCAGTATTAATATAGCAAACAGATCAACTTTTCTCTTCTCTCTGTAGATACATTTCTCCTATGATTGTTCCAATGCTCATGTTCACAGTAAATATAAAATTGTTTGAGGGGCATTTTATCAAAGGGTATTTTTAAGGTTGTTACTCTTACACTAAGAAGTAGGAACTTAGAGTTCTATTTTTCTCATATATTCAATAAATATTACATGATCACTGGATTGGTTATCAGTAAAGATTCAACACAGACAATTCAAGCTTCCAGCCCTCAGTAAACTTAAAATCAAATGAAGAAGCCAAAGACCGACAGTGAAAAGAAAATCAAAATATTGTGACCAAGCTCAAATATGTGATCATATTTCTAACTACAAAAACTTTAGGCTGTCCCAAAACAAGAGTTCTCAGGGAAAACACAACCATTGAGGTTACTCTATTTTCTAACTTCATTATTCATTACCCCAAGGCTCATTTTTAGAAGTTAAAAAGAACAGAGAAAGTCAGAGGTATATGCAAATCTTAAAGGAACAGGCAACTGCTTCCAGAGAATGGAAAAAGACTAGTACTGCCAAAGCGCTTCTTGCCAGAAACAGAGCAACATCCGAAGCCACTGACTACTATGATCTTAATTTACTAATTAATAATACTTATAGGCTATTTTGAGATAATTTTCTTTAAAGCAACACTTTTGTGGCCTATAGTAGTGGGGTATGAGAGAGCACATCTATGCAGATTAAAGAAAGACAGTAAACTTCAGTTTATGATGCACCATCATTCATAAAAAAGTTAACTTTAAGGAAGCAGCAGAAAACAAGAATAGAAACAGCTTTCAATAAATGATACAGTAAAATCATACAACATAGAGCATATGGAAGAATCTTGATTACTATGCTTTGTTCTAGATAACCAAGTCTAAATAGTGAAAAGTTGAAACACTACCTTAATGTATTATTAACCTGAACTAACAAAACTTAATTTTATTTTGATTTCACATTCATAATGTTGTTATTGTTCTTGCATATATTTTTTTGAATGGTAGTGCTGTTATATATGTAACATGCCTGAGTGAGAAATAAAAGGAACAGGTCCAAAGAACATGACTGATGGTTATTCTTAAGCCTATTAAACAAACCTTACCTTATAACCTTTATCTTATCATAAAGCATGTTTCTCCAATGTTTCCCTTACCAAGATTAAAACTAAATTTTTTCACTATAACCATACACACAACAGATATGCTATATCAAAATGGGATCCTACTCCAGTCTATTATCTTCAATAATGTTAACAAACAGCAATTTGAAAATATTACCCAAAAAAGTTCTTTAAAATTGGGAAATACTAATTTCTAAATTATAGCTTAAAGTCAAAATCAAGAATGTAAGAAAGAGTAGGCAGAAAGTAACTGCGACAAATACAAAATTACTAATACTTTTAAACACAGTTAAAAGAAAGCTTGAATATAAGGTTTCTATAAACCAGGAAATTCAAGATTTTTATGCAGAAGTATAAAAATATCTTTAATTTGAAGTATGTGAAAAGAAGAAATATTCTTATGTATGAGTTTTTTCAGTAGTGTACAATACTAAGAGTAAAATTTAGCAGTTTATGTTCTATTACATAAATAAGCATTTTTCTATTTTGGCAAAAAGGTACAACTGAATACCCCAACAGAAAGAACAAAAGTGGGAAGAGCAGTATGGATAAAGGTCAAATAATTTTCTATTTTCCATAACTAAATCCTGATTCTTACTCGGGCTTTGTACTAATACAAAGGTTTTTTTTTAGTGGTGGTTGTTCTTGTATGTATTTTTAATGAATGCGATGTTACATATGTAACTTGCCTGAGTGAGAAATGAAAGGAACAGAACCAAAAGGATCTTCTGGAGGATGATTATGTGAAGCAGAAAGTGGGTCTACTTTCTTATCTGAGGATGCGTTCTCCTCCAGTCTGTCTGCAAAAATAAGATGAAACAAAACAAACAAAAAAATAAAATAAAAACAAAATGGTCTTTAAATTTTAAAAAGTGCTATACAGTATAAATAAAAGTGAAAATTAAACACAGCAACAGCCTCTTGGAGTGGATTAGATTCAGAGTTCATTTTTATAAATATTTGGAGGTAGTCCTGATTTCAAAGTATATTTTACAGCTACAAGGGTAAGTTTGAATATATAAATACCAGTACTAGGTTTCACGAATACAATTAATCAATAATTTAGTTTGGTTTATTTAAATGAACATTGTCTTCAGCTTGCAATACACTGAACTGCAACTTAAATTCAACTTGTCAAGCAAGCTATCTGGCAGATTTTTTCCCAAAAAAGAAAAAATTACAAATATTCACTCATTCACAAAATAGATAAACTACTTCTTGATAGTAATAAAAATAATTCACTCTATTGTTTCTCATATTTCTTTACAATTATGTAATCTGCATATACAGACACAAAATACACATAAACTGCAGCACTACAAAGCTATCTGCAGCCTCTTCAACGTAAGCTCAATCCCAGACCAGGGAGGTGACCCACGTGGCTCAGCAGATTTCTCCTGTCTCACTCACTGCTCCCCTTAGCACTATACTTCCAGCAATCTACCTGTTCTGCTCTCTACTCTGTCTCTGGTGAATTCTCTCACCACCCCTGTACCCCAGTTCTTGTATACATAAATTAAAAAAAAAAAGACTGAATGCATACTAAACAAAAAGCCTTAACTAATACTTTATTCAAGAGAATAAAGTATTCATTCTAGGCAATTGGCATTGCACCAAATGTACTTAAGACTCTTGTCCTCATAGAGTTTATACTAATGCATGAAAACAAATAAAAAGTAATGAGCAATAAAAAAAATCACACAGTTAAGCTAGAAACAAATAAAGCTATAAAGAAAAACTGCAGCTTAGGGCAAACAGAATTAACGTAGTGGGCATAATAATTCCAATAGCTCCAGATGAGACTAGAAGAAAGCAGGGGGAATATAATACCTTTGGAAGAACATGCCAGGCCAAAGAAAACTGAGGGCAAACAAAGCTCTAGTGTAAGAGCAGGCCTGATGTGTTTAAAGATCTGAAGTATCTTAGTTCACTGGCAAAGAGTAACTTTTCCCTGCGTTTTAAACTCTGTACATAGTAATCACTTTATCAGTAGAGAACTGCTGACTTTTGCAAAATGTCTGTACATTATAATTCTTAGCAATCAAACTTTACTCTTAAGGACCCACTCTGCCTTTCAGGTATTTTCAGCAATACTGGAACTAGATCTTTTATGTTTAAGGAAATCTATGGGTAAAATTCACTGGTTTCATTGAATCACAAGGAACTGCAGAGTGGGATCAAAGAAACCAAATACATTTCTCTAAAAACAATTCATAACTTCACAGTAAATTAAAAGCCCAAAGTTAATGCAACAATCTAACAAGCCAGTGCTTTCCAAATTTGATGTTCCTTCCTATTACCCATGAATTTGTTAAAATGCAAACTGATTGGATGGATCTAGATATACCCTCAGATTCTGTGCTTGGATACTGCTGGTCTAGGGGACACCTTTTGAGACATCAAGCCCCAAAAGTCTACAGTGTACTAAATAAACTTGATTGCTTCTATAACAGCTAAGTCTTTAACAACCTCTATGACAATAGATACATTATCAGGTTTCATGGCTACAACTAACTACAATATCCATATTAAGACTTGAGTTATTTACAATTTTTACTTAAAATTTTGTTGAAGCACTAAGAAGTATTTTTTTAAGCAGCACAAATAACAATTGATTTGTGCACATATCTTCCAAAACTCAAGAGCTAATTTTTCAAATATAATACTTCAATTGTCAATAATGAAAATTTATTTTAGGTGTTAACTTTTCAAAATATTATATGTATACTTAATTCAAGAAATCAGCAGTAAATGCTGATTGAATCAGTTTCTTGTATCATGTTTTGTTTAACACCTACAAATGAAAAGTAGTTTTGTAGCTTTTTTCTGAAAAGCAGATTACAGTATAATTTATATACTGCAACCAATTTACTGTGATAGAAAGTCAAAATCAAACCATGTTACAGCATAATTTATATACTATAACCAATTTACTGTGATAGAAAGTCAGAATCAAACCTTAAGGAAGGGTCTAAGATTCAATAAACCATAAGATACCTGTGGCTACCAATTTTATCAGGCCCTGAATGCATTTGTAGAGTAACCAAAACCAGGTATTATTCCTTACATCAGAATCCTCTAGATGGGAAATATAGGTGCTTAGAGCTAATATATGATCAAACTTGACCACCACAGATCTAGTGGAGAATATCTAGATAGAGGTCTGGGAATATACACAATAACATACTCTCCACATTTATAAACTACTACTGTACCACTGATTACAGTTTATAAAAATGCAAAATTACTATGTACTAAGATTCTTGGAATTCTCACACACTGGTGTATATCTTCCATCAATCTATGATAAATCCATGGTTGTTGTATAAACAGTATCATGTAGCTATAAGAATATTAACATTATCAAGTAAAGGTAAGCAGTATTTTTAAACAGGCAATCCCCATAATTAAAAATATGGAGACACTATGATAGGCAAATTTCATTTATTCAGTATTACAAAATAAAGTCAGTATAAAATAAATCATGTTCTAACTGTTCCACAAAACATAGAATCAATTTTTCCATAGAGGATTTTTTCAAACTCATTTAGAATTCTAAAGTTTACATAATAATCTGGGTCCAGGGCACAAAATATAAAATAAATTACACATTAACTGAAGATTGTCAATTATCCATAAATAAAAACTAATGAAATGGAATGTAGACATATACACAGTCACCTCTAAAATGTATTTAATTTCCATTTTCAAAAAATTGGTTTGAGCGAAGCTTATACTTCATCTTTCCAATATTAAAAAGAACTTACCTCTACCTGCCTTCTTAAAAGAATTGTTAGTAAATAAAAACAATCTTTTTAAGAATTTCAATAGATACAGATGTGAAAGTCGAGAATTTTAAAAATCTTAGAATTAATATATTCCATAATATCAGAAAATCAATGTAGTCTTAAAAGTTAGTTCAGCAATTACATGGATAATGGCTCCAACAGCCAAAGGGTTAATGAATAAAGTTTAGATGTGTAGTTTTAATCTGATACTTTTAAAACTTGTTCTATTATACTTGGTTTCATTATTCTGCCCTGAAGAAGTTTAACGGGTCTGAATTAGCTTAAAGCAATGACAGTTAATGCTATACAACAAGCTATGCAAATGTTAAGATCAATTTCATTTGTTTAAAAAAAACACATTCAGTACATTTTTCAAAGTAGTTTTCTTCCACTTGGTTATTCTAATTCAATTTTAAACAAAAACAATAAGCTCATCATAACAACAAAAAATTCCATTAAATATTATTTCTAATTAACATGTAGAGAGCTATACAATTATTTGAACAAATGAAAATATTTCTCTACAAACTGTATACTAATTAGTGCTTAATGTGTTAAATATTATGACAATTAAATTTCTGACGTTTACATACTAATCTGGATTTGTTGGTATTTTGGTACAAAAGACAATAAAAAATACAAGCTTAAATTTAAAAATAGCATTGAAACCACTTTTATTACTAAATCTCAGTTCTAATTTAATGTTTTTGTCTTAAAAAGGAACAGGTAAAAATAATTGTCACTTCTGCTGTTAATGGATCACCCAGAAAAATCCCTTATAACTCCTGGTTTATTTGCCGACTGAAAAAACAGATAGTTTAGATATCATTTTAAAATGCTGATTAAAGGACAATAAGCTCAAAATCAAACCCAAAAGATATGTTCAAATATAAGAAAGGGGGCAGTGTCATTTATCAGATGCTACAAAGACATTATTTCATTTAACCTTCTTAAACTTATGGGGTAAGCATCATTATGCCCAGTCTATGAATGAGTAATCAAGGCAATAGCTATCACTTTACAGAGATCACAACCTAGTTAAATGACAGTGAAAGGGATGAGAATTCATATTTCTTAGTGTTTTGTGCTGACTTAAGAGCATCCGCCTCGTAAACAGTGATTTCAACAGCCGAGGGACTATCTACACAGTTTTCCAAATGATTGAGTTGCTCCAAGTCTGACCTTCAGACAATGTTCCTCCTGCACTTTCATGGAACCTAGTATTTTTCCATAACTAACACTGCAATGAAATCTGAACTGTAGATGTATAGCGTAATATTGTAAATACAAACACCAATCACATGCTATCTGACCTTGATGTTTGAAAGCAAAATAAGCTAATTAAGAATTTTACATACTAATCTCAAGTATTTTTATAGTGTTTACTTTTTAACTGAGTAAGCTTGGTTCATAACACTATACACGATTCAGAAGAACAGGTTCACACCTCTTCCGATACATGATCACACACAACAGTTATGTATACATGAATATTTAGCTGCCATTCTCAATTAAGCAATATAATTAAAAACTTTAGTGTTATTCTAGAAAACTCAGAATAATATTTTATGAAGCACAGGATAATATGCATGCTTCACCAAATCTACAGCTGATGTTTTTAAGATAGAAATTTTTATCCAATGAATAGAAAATACTAATTTAGGAAACCCTTAGTTACTAACTTGATCAGAACACGATGAAAATTTAACTCTACCTTTTGCTTTAAAGGTAGAGTTGTTGTGATGTGGTTGCACCCTTGTGACTACCCTGCCATCCCACCAAAAGAAGCATGTTTTTTTTTTCCAAACCTAAACTTTATAGCAATTCAATATAATTTCTATAAAAAAATGCCTCCCCAAAAAAAATTTTTTTTTTTAGTAACAAGATGTCAAAATTGGTTTATTAATGTCAATAGACCTTAATTAAATAAAGGCTTGGAACTCATCTTTGCATCTTCATTTAATCGTCAACTAAATTTTTCATAATCAAATAACCAATAAGTGAAATAGAAATTTAAATCCGAAACAACTATTCTTACATGAATTCATCACGTTTGTAAATTTTACATAAAATACACACCAATTTAGAGCAAGGTGTATTAATTATGATATATTCTCACAAGGCCAATTACCTAAAATAAAAAAGAAACTAGGAACTATAACTTAGGGACCATTAAGATCTTCTTTTCACATGTAAAAGGGAAGGCCACAAATATATGTGCATATAAACAAGCACACGTATGCACACACACACACTTCTCAGGAACCTAGAATTTACCTCATACTCCAAAAGTGAGATATTGTTCCTATTTTGCAACCCACCCCCAAGACACTTCACACATCTCTTTCCCCAAATAGAACTTCTCTAAAATATATATGGTGGTGAGACTTGAAATAGACATTAATTAGTAAAAGAAAATGCAACGATACCAAGTAAAAACATTGAGATATATGATTTAAAGTGGGAAAGACAATTTATTTAACTTTTTCCATATCTGGACAACAAACTAGCCCACTCATTAAAAGGGCATTACAAAACATTAACATAATGTAGTAGCCCGGTGTTTTCTTTCAGGCACTTTCACAGGGCATCTCAGACCTACAATATCTTCTATTGAGTGTGCAAGGAAACAGATGCAAAATGACTGGTAAGGTTAGATACTAATACTAATGTCTCCTCTTTTTATCTGAACATTAATTTTCCATGTCTTAGACTCTGAATTTAACATTCAAAGGGTTAGGAATCAAGATATTATCAACAGACTTGGGTGTAATAACTGTTATGTCAAGCAACTGATTTCTAATGCACACAGCAAGTTTGCTATTATAGGTATAAAAAAAAAAAAAAAAAGATGGCCTGATGATTGTCCTCAAATGCACAAAAGTAATTTTCTATTCACCACCTCAAAACAGTCTTTGGCCTTGCTGAATAATTAGAGAACTGTTAGTTTATTGTGAAGCAAAATAAGCCTTCAAGTGTCCCTTACTTGATCTTAGAAGGTCAAATTCTCTGTCCAAAAGTTCCTCTTCTGTTAACTTGGAAAAATTATCCTCTCCAAAAGGATTCCACCCTGACATATCAGGTGGGTTACTGATGTTCTTCTGACTTGCAATATTTACAATTGTCTCTTTATCAGCAACTGACCTATAAGAGAGGAAAAAGGAAGAAAAACATTAAAATTGAAAAAATTAAAGTTCCCTAGTTCATATTTTACAATATTTAGAAAAGTAGATCATATTTTATTTATGGAAGAAAGGGCAGTAAAGAAGATTTGATACGAAATAAGAATAACAACATTAAAAAAATAAAAATATCACGTATGGCTCAATCAGTGTTTCTGAGGTAGTCTGTGTCCCTAACTTCTATTAGCCTAGTGTATTAATTATTTTTGATCTATCTAATCATTATCCTTTTCCTACTCCAAACTGACATCTCCCTTAATACATAAATTCACAGGAGTAGGATAAAACGCTTTCACAAAAAATCAACCCCATCCTTCCCAGACTGGGTTATACAAGATAATTTTGATGATAAAACAAATTTTTAAGTTTTAAAGTTACACAGAAGAGAGGAAAAAGAAAGTAACATATCGCACCAAGATTTCATAAACAAAATCACTAGATCTGCGATTTAAGTAAGTAGTCCTATGATAATTCACATTACTTAAGGTATCAGCATCTTGCATGCCTAAATATGCAGCAAATCTTTGGATGTTCGTTTTCATAATTATATCTAGCCAGAAATTTCAGTGGTAAATATGCTGTGGTACACATAGTGAATTCTCTCTTATAGAATTTCTAATCTATCACTCAAACTCACCTGCAACACTACTTTACTTCTAAAGACTGGTTTAGAATACAAGCTACACATAAATATATATGCTGTGTATACTTAATAAAGTTGCACTTTCCAACTACATATAGTAGACATAACTGATAATTTTAGTGCTATTTAACATTAAGAGTTAAAAAAAAATCAAGCATCTAATTAATAAAACAGTCTCACTGGTATCTACATCAAGCAGAAAACACTGCATCAAGCAGAATATCTGCACTTTAATGAAAAATAAAACTATTCTATTTCTAGTCTGACAGACATATTTTCATCTATGTCTATTTTCTTTTATTAGTTGCTACTTATATTTTATAGTTCATGCTTTAACATTCAATTTGTTCAAAGTATATAATAGTATGTAATGTACATTTTCCAGTGTAAATTAAAGTAAAAAGTGCTATGTGGATAAATCAAAATACAATAGCTGATAAGATGAATGTTTGTGTGACAAATATTGACCTGGATCTTTAAAACCAGCTTTTGATCCTACATCCTGCTCCCCACTTAAAACATGTATTTCTCACAAAAGTCATGCAACCTAACTCTTGCTATAATGAATCAATTTGTTTTTCCTACTCCATGCCATTCCTCCTTCCCCATCCACAAATACAGAAGTTGGGAAGTATACTATAGCAACCTGCATCCTTCAGCTCTTTTTAAGATGCTCAATGAAATACATGCTACTGACATTACCCTTTCTCATGCATAACTGCTATCAAAAGTTTGTAGAGATACCTTGTCCCAGCTCGTGCTTCATGACCTAAAATACTATTGTATAAAAATTTCTTTAGTGTTCCATAACTGAAGTTCTAACAGCTACTACTTCCATGTATCTAAAATAGGAAGTAGTACTCATAATGGTTAATAGATACTAACTACAAAATCCTGAAGAACTCCCAATGTGAAGCCTAAATTCAAGAAAATTTGTAGCACATTTTATAATGACCTATCCATGGAAAATATCTCTCTATTAATGAATGTATCTGAACAACCAAAATAAACTGCTTCCCAACTATATGCTATGGAAACAGTAACCTTGCTGTATCATATCATTTAAATCATAAATTAAAAATTGTGTGTCTGTTTAAATTAAACCAATTTAGATCTTTATAAGCAAATCATTTGAGTAATCACATTAATTGAAAGCAGTAACACTAAAAAGTTAAATTAGCTTGTTTATAAGAGTTATTTTTAAAACCACAAGAGTACCTTGTTAGGCCTTTATTTCTACTTGATCTATTAAGGGGAAGGATGTCCTAAAGGAACTCTGCAGAGTCTTATGGACTCCACCCCCTACTCCAGCTTTCTGGACCCTACACACTACTCCAGTGATTGGAAACTACAACTCCCAGCAGTACCAGGGAGAGAACTGTGAGGACCCAAGGGTGGAGCTAGCAGGAATGGATTCTGGAACATTTGGGGGATAAATAGGGCATGATTGCATCTCGCGCTCTTGCACTCGGGAAGCAGCTCTCTGGACCGCGTGACTCGGTGTGTTCAGTCAGCCGAGCCGTAAGGAATTCCAGTTACTTTGTATCCTGCTCCCTCTCCCTGGGTTGTTTCCTATTCCTTTCCCCTTTTGTAAAAAAATAACCCGTTATTGACCCTTTTTTGTGTGTACCTGCAGTATAAGCGAATTGTGAGCGCGCGGGTGAGGCCACACAGACAGGTGGCCCAGTCCACTCTGGGCTACCCTGTAACAGACCTACAAATATCTTCACAGATAAGCCAATAATTTTCTTAGCTTTAGATGTTACTGTATAATGCTAAACTTTATCTGCAGATAGCAGTTAGTTAAAACTGCTGATGGAAATGAAAGGAAGGGAAGGGATACATTCACAGGGATTAGAAGCGAAAACTCCTAAGAGAAAAGGCAAACTCAGCAGAGATACCAGCTCTAGATTCATTCAGGTTGAAGACATTTCTCTTGTATACAAGAGTTAGAAGCCACTTCCCTAACAATTTCCTTTGTACACATTTGAAAAGTACTTGCCTATTAGCACTGTAGGAGGAGTCAATTACAGTTCCAACATGAGCTTGATGTGATGAAGTATAAGAAGCTAAGGCTGGTGAGAACTCTTGAGGGGATGGAAGGTATTCAGGTGATACCTGTTGCTGAGACTGCTGATGTTGAGCCAGCATTTGCTGCTGCAGGAAAGCCTGTTGATACTGCTGCATCTGAAACAAGATAAGACATTACATACAACAACACTCAAAACCGCCAAAGCACTGTCAGCATCACATCTATTTGCTAAGTTCCCTCCTTTTCACACTGGCAAAAAGAAACCTGAGAAACAATTCCTATCTGAAGCAGCAGCTTGGTACTAGAAAGCAATAGGATGAAAAAATCAATATAAGAAGCTGTTAAACTAAGTTAACTTGAAAACATTAACAATATTTCACTAAAATTATTTTAAGAAAAAGATAATAGCATATTCTAAAGAAATGAGTTGTGGGGGGTGGGGGAGGTATCACTTAAAAACAAAGGTCAGCAGCAGCTGCTTCAGTGTGTATTCGATCCCCAGCCCCGGAGGTGACCCACATGGCGCGGCAGACCTCTCCTGACCCGCCCGCTGCTCCCCTCAGCAGTGTACTTCGTCAATCTGCCTGTTCTACTCCCCACTCTGCCTGTCACCGCCCCTTTGTCTCTAGCTTGTACCCCAGTTCTGTATGAATAAATAAATCTTTTTTAAAATATAACAACAAAGGTCAAGAACTCTCTGAAGCAAATGCAATTTCCCTTGAGATTTTCTACACAAGAGACATCTGCTGAAGAAAGATATGACCCAAAATAAAAACCATGGATAACAGATCATTTTCCTTAGTCTGTAAGTGAAAAATACTGTCAATTATGATGTGTTAAATTCAAGTGCTATGTTTCAGCCCAATATAAAACTAACTGAGAATAAATGGCTGGCTTTTATTAAATATATTAAATATAAGTGAATTGACTTTTGATTATTAAATTCTAAATAATACCATCAAAACTATGAATTCCAGTAATGCAATGTATACTTAAGGACAATTATCTAAAAGTCATATAACTCTTACCATTGTGGAATACTGGGATGCAGACGGCTGAGGCTGATGCACCAAATGCAATGAAAACTGTTGTTGGAGTATCTGTTGCTGTTGCATTGCATGTTGATACTACAATAAGTAAAACAAGCTCATCAATATTTTTCATGCCTTTGTGCCATAGTCTTTTTTTAAGTACTGATCTTACTGTAACAATGATTTAAGAATTCAGCAGTTAAAACAACAATGTAAAATTGCTATAGTCACTTACTGATTATATGTGTAGCTTTGTGTATGTGTCTATGTGTATGCATTAAATAGTTACATGAAACTAGAAATTTGTACATTCTGATAAGGCAAGACAAAAGAGAATTAATGATGACTTCTTCTATGTCCTTTACAGCTCTAGCCATCACTTCCACAACATACATTCCAACCAACACAAAAAATGAAAACCAAAAACCTAAGATAATGTTCACTTCTGAAAGTCTAACATCACCTTTCAAACAATATTGGCTTATTTGAAATCAAAATGCAACCTGAAACAGATTACCCATCACAAATTGTAGTGATCACTTACGATGCCAAAAGACCAGATAAATACACTTTGTTTCATAAAGCCATGATACAACCTATTTCAATAGTGTACTCTTAAATATTTCACAGAATACAAATGCGATAAATTCTTCAAAATCAAGAAACTGAAACAAAGGATTTGCTAGGATCTAGAATTTAATGGACCAGGTACAAAAGGAAATTCAATGATACTCTAACAGCTGCATGAATTTCATTACACTTCTTCCATGCCTAAGATAACAAAAAAGAATTACCTGCTGCATGTAAGCATCCTGAAGTAGTTGATGTTGTTGATGCTGCTGCTGCTGAGGATGACGATGCTGTAAATGAAGTTGCTGCAACCTCCAATCTCCTTGCTGTAGTTGCTGAAGTACTCTATGCTGCAGTGGAGGCTGCTGAGGAGGAGGGCCTTGACCCAATAAACTCTCAGGACTGTTTCCAGGTCTCAGTGCTCCTAAAAGAATTGTCCCAAAAATTTTATTAAATATACTCATGATTTCAATAAAATGATTGGATTTCAAAATACTCATTTCAATAACCAAAACATTTATATATTTTATGATGTAAACCATTCTATATGTATACAGTGAACAGAGATCACTTACTGTTAGTACCCAAGAAAGGCAATTTTGTAGACTAGTATACAGAACAAGTCAGTATCTAATAAATATTTCATCTTTCACACTTTACCTCTCCAGGAGCAAACAATTAGTGTCATCATGAGCTTTAAAAATTCTAGATCTATGCTGACACGACTCTTCTTCTTAAATGCCATTTTTCAATCCCTGCAGTTCTTATCCTTTATAGTTTAACTCAAGTTTCTCTTTCTTGTTCTCTCACCTAACATACTCAGTAACATTTCATTTTGCCTTGTACATATTGTTTACATAGCTATTTCCTAATTAGTCCCAAGGAATGGGTTCATGTTATTATCTGCTAGTGCCCCTAAAATTACCTTATATAATGATACTCAATAAATACTACCACAATGAACCTATTAAACACCGTCTACCCCGAATGAACATATATTTATACACTTCATAAATTTTAACCTAGGAAAATCCTATGAATAAAGTTTTGAAATTAATGAAAATGTAAAATACATATAACAAATACACTATAATACTTTCTCCCCAAGACCTATTGTAAATTCAAATGAATCTCTTTAATCTTTCAGAAAAACAGGAAGAATGTAAGGAGATTTCTTCAAATCTCCTAGGTCGTAAATAACTCACCTCTACAAAAATAAATTTCAGAACTATGTCTAATTCTAATTTTAAAAGAAATGAATGTTCATTTAGTTATTCTTAAAAATATTTATAAAAATGCATGAAAGATGGCTCTCCCTGGTGGCACCATGGGTTAAAGCATCGCATTATATAACTCTCCGAAGCCACTGCAGCACAAGTTCAATCCCCAGACAGGGAGCTGACCCACATGCAACAGCAGACCTCTCCTGACCCACCCACTGCTCCCCTCAGCAGTGTACTTTGTCAATTTGGCTGTTCTACCCCCTACTCTGTCTCTGGTGAAGCCTCTCACCTACCACACTTTTGGACTGTACCCAGTTCTGTAAGCATAAATGAATAAATCTTTTTAAATGTATGAAACAAAATTTAAGCTTCAGCACCACTGTATACATGTAACAACCATTAGCCTTATTAAGGTTTTTTCTTAACAGTAGGCAGAGTAGTAAAAGTTAAATTCCTTAGCTATATATTCATCCTTTAGAGCCCTGAGATTTACAAGAGTAAACTCATGGCTAAAGAGGAAGCCAACCACAAATCAATGGTATAGCTCATAAGGCTCACTCGTGACATCAAAAACTGACTTTTATTTTGTGTCGTCAAGCAGAATTGAGATCCTTAGTTCTCAAGCCAAGGATATAAGATCATCAGAGAACTCTTAAGTAACATCACAAAAACCTTCCATGAAAATAATGCATCCCAGTGCATCACTAAATACTCATCATTCCCTAGTATGCAATACAAAACTAAGGCTCAGAGAAGTAAATTCATAAAGTTAAAGATAAATGATATACTGGAAGAAAATAGTTACAACCTGTCAAGCTAATATTCAGATGCATACAAATAAACCATCAAAGAAATAAAAAGACATTCATAAAATTGCAATAGATAACTCACAAACAAAAATGGTGTAAACACATGAAACCATACTACTTAGTCAAAGATATTAAAATAGAAACCAAAATGCCTCACCTATCAATTAAAATTTTTTTAAACCAATACTATGAAGGGTTGACAGATACAAGAATGAAAGGGAACTTACACTGATGATGGCAGTGTAGCTTTTCAGTCTTTTTAGGATGAAATTATATGACATACTTTACATGAGTACATTTCTTAATATTTTCTTCAAATAATGTAAGCCCAGACTGTGTGGTAAGGATGACCACCACAACACAATAATAGTAAATACTGTTAATAACCTAATGACATTAGCTATGATATACTGATACTATGAAATGTCACATACCTATTCAAAACTACATTAATATTTTTGGATGTACTAATTTGCAAGGCCTTGCATAACATCAAATTTAAAAAAATCAACTTGTCGGGAAATACATAGCACAAGTTTAGTTATGTTAAACACAACATGAATTGCAGGCATTTGTGTGCATACATATACATAGGTGTGTCTATGTATCTGTGTGTGTGCACGCGCACGCACACGCACGAACACAGAAAAGGATTGGGAGGATGCCCACAAAACTGCAGGCTAGTTTGTTTTGAGGGTGAACATTCGTATGTTACCTTTCATATAGTGCTGATGGGGGAAGAAAAGTTAAAAGATATACACATAGGAGAGAAGAATATTATTTTTCTGACATAAGTTGGGGCATTAAAGTAGAAAAACACTGCCACTGACACACAGAGCAGACTTGACACAGCAAGCAGGTCTTGGTGTTCTGCTGCTCAATATAAACAATTTCAGAGTATCAGATCAGATGAAATAAATGTGAGTAATGAGTTAGGACAAGATCAATCCTTAATCAAGCAAAATACTCTCAAAAACAAGAACATTGTAAAAATCCAAAAAAAATCACTAAACTATCTATTATGGCTTTTTTACTTAATATATCCTTCTAGATAAAATACATTAAGATACTTAAAAATGTCAAGCACCACTAATCCAAATCAAATTCCAAGCCCCATTTCCTAAAAATCTCCCAAAATTTTCCTAAAACAAGCTTTAATTCTTAGGTCTTTCCAAACACCTTCCTGAGAAACTCTCATCACAGATTCTCATAGTATAAGAATAATAAATCCAATTATTTCAACTACAAGTGTGTACCTAGTAGTCTTTGACTGGAGGGAATGGAGGGTATTAGTAAATGACAAGTAATAGAATCTCCAACCCAAAAATGTAGAAAAAAGATGTTAACTAAATGTTAACTATGAAACAGAAGCTTCTTAGATTCTACTTTGTTATTTACGCCTTACAACAGGAAAAGTAGTTGTCATTCCTATTTTATAGGAGAGAAGAGTACAGCAAGGCAGTGGTAGAATGGGATTAGGTACAAAAGACTTCAAATTCCCGTTTTCTCTTTTTCAGGGAATATTCCTCCCATTCAATAATTGATTAGCAACATGTCAGGTAATAAAAATCTTGCCTTCTTTGAACATACACTGAATAGTAATAAAAATCGTTAACAGCTAATCTATTTCATAAGAATAGGTTATGTGACAAGCTATATTAAGCAGTTATCTAGTCCTAACAACAACTAAGATTAGTATTAGCAGTGTTACAACACAAAAAATGGGGAAAATTGGATTCAAATTCAGGTTCACAAAACTCAAAGTGCAAGCTCAATTAGTTTTCTAACTGAAAACATTTTAACGTTTAAAACAAGATAGATTATGCTATAAAGTACATAACAGGATTTTCTTGGGATAAACTGTTCAGGTTGTACCTCCAGAATCTTAAAGAGTGTAGTTCACTCTCTAACATCAGGGGTATTTATTATGCATAATGTTTAGGAAATATTTTTAAGTTAGAAAAATTCCTCAAAATCAGATAAAGAGACAAATTTCTATGCTGTAAAGGCTCACGGTTCAAGACAGACTCTTTTGCCAAGGTTCTATCTTTAGCACAAAGACATAACTTTAAAAGGCTAGAGTTTTAACTTTATCCTTTTCAATAATTCGGTAATATTCTATACTCATGAAACTTTGTTATAAACTTCAAACCCAACTAACTGATGACTCTAGGGAGAAACAAATTGTAAATTTTTATACCATATTTTAAACTACCAGTGACTTACCTTTGCCTACAAATTTATGAAAACAACTGGTTGAGTTTGTTTAAAATAAAAAGAAAATTTTTTAAAGCATTATTATTTGCTTCATAGTATTAAGTGTGTCAGTAATTTATACTTCTAGGAAATCAAGCCATAAAGGATTTATTTAAACCACTATGAAAGTAACAAGTTTGACAGGGCTGTATTACCTTTAGATCTGTGGTTCCCAAATTCGCCAGGAACAGGGACTTTAACAGGTGTTGCTGAATTCTGAATGCTCAGCACACTGGGAGTGGCAGTAGTGGAGTTAGCCTTTGGTCTTTGTCTTGGTGCAATTGAGGTTTCTGTTGGTCCAATGGTATCTGTTATTCTACAACAGAAAAATATATTTCATTCTAAACAATGGGATTATTTCTAATTTATTGTCTGTTCTATAAAGCATTTGTTTCAACAGACATGGTTTAATTATTATTGATGATCATTTTCGTTCTCTTGGATTCTTCCTAAGTCTCATTCTCAAATAGTAAATGTCCACTGAAGATTAAAGGAAACAAACACATAAAAGTTTCAGATAAAATGAATTAGACAAAGAAATAAATATAAAAAGACAAATAATAATCTCCCTTAGTTACAACTCCAAGCCTAAAAAAGAAAAGACTCTATCTATCCCAGTGCATGTAAAACCAAAGAAGTCAAAATCTTAATAGCTGGATTAGATTCAACTTCTAGAATTTGTAACTTTGCTTAGAACACTGAGTGGAAACTGAATGAAACTTTCCCACTCGGACTTAGTTTAGTCCACACACAGGGGAGCCAACTGATAAATGTGGCAAAAGATACTAAAGATAATCTGAGAAGACACAAATTATCTTTTTCTCTTTCAAAAAAAAGTAAAAAAGAGTCTTTTAATTACATATTTATCAACTTTTGTTTTTATAAATTCAAATTCAAATACTTTTTAATTTTTTCAAATATTTAATTTTCAACACAATTACAACAGAATCCCTTTACCAAATTCCCATAGCACATTTTCAAATGATTTGACACTTACAAATTTTACATTCACATGATCATGAACTTTATATCTGAGTCTACCACAATCATAAGACCCTAATTATTTCCTTTATCTTTGTGTACCACAAGAGGGAGCCCTGTTAACAACTATCTGTAGAATAATGAAAATTCAATCAGATGAAATTAAAACAAGAGCTCAGAAATTATAGAAACATATAATATAGAAATATATAGTATATTCTCTAAAAATAACATTTATGTTACTGATGGGTGGGATGGTATTAATACAAATCATATGAAAATTGGCTAGAAGGCAATAGATGATTACGCACAGAATCAAATATATCTTAATGATATATCAAGAATGCATTGAGCTCAGTTATTTATTATGTAGTTAATACTACGACAAGTTTCATATATGAATAATTCTACTTTAATTCTAATATGGCTAGAAAACAGGGCAGCAGATTTTAGGACCTAGAGGCACAACAGGTTAAAGCCAAAACTATCTGCAGCCACTGCAGCAGTTGATCCCCAGCCTGGGAGGCGGGGGTAGGCGGGATAGAGTGACCCTTATGGCATGGCAGACCTCTCCTCCTCTCCTGATCCGCCCACTTCTCAGTACTTTGTCAATCTGCTTGTTTTGCTCCCTATTCTAGCTCTGGTAAATCCTCTCACTGGCCCCTACACGAATGGCCTGTACCTCAGTTCTGTATGCATTAAAAAATATATCTTTAAATCTATATGATTTCATTACAGAGTTTAAAAAAACAAACAAACAAAAAAAGCTAACGGAAAAAAGCAGAAAGAAAATGCCTGGTCAGATTAGGCAAAGAGAAGACATAAACTTGATCAAATGAAAGATTGAAAAATTGCTGCCCGTAACATTACACAGTCTCATCTGAACTGTTCCAACAGAACTACTTTCTCTACTTCCTTCCTTTTCTTTCCTTCTCTCCTGAATGATCTTGATATTCCTGAAACACAGAAACTCTCTTCTCTTAAACTCAGTGCTTATGAACACATTGCTTATCATGCAGAACATACAAATCAAAACCACAATGAGATACCACCTCACTCATCTGTGAAAATGGCCCAAATTAAAAAGACCAGAAACAACAAATATTGGCAAGGGAATAAAGACAAAGGAATCCTTAGTGCACTGTTGGTAGTAATGCAGACTGATTTAATCCCTAAGGAAAATAGCATGGAAGTTTCTCAAAGTATTAAAAATAGACTATGATCCTGTTATTCCATTTCTTGGCTTTTAACCCAAAGAAGGGACAAGGAAAAAAAAAACTAACTTGAAGAGATATATGCATTCTTATATTCATTGCAGCACTATTTATAACAGTAAAGTTATGGAAACAATCTAAATACCCAACAACAGAATGACTGAATTAAGAAGATGTAGTACAATGGAATACTATTCAACTATAGATTTCAAAAAAAAAAAGAACTGTCATTTGCACACAATGGAGTAAATTGGTGGGAGAAATGCTAAGTAGACAAGATTATGCTAAATCAGAGGAAAAAAGATAAATACCATATGATTATTCACTCATATGTGGAATACAAGAAACAAAACAAAGGAGCTGATAGAACCAACTGACAGATAGCTGAGTTGAGATCATGGAGGGGTGCGCAGTGGAGAGAAAGCCTTTTGGTATACGAAAAAGGGACACTGGTGCCACTGCGTGGATAGGACTGTAGTGATGCACATCTGAGGAGGTGTGAACCTACTCTCTGAACCACGAACAATGATGTAAGCCAATGTTATCTCAAACTAATTTAAAAAAAATAAACCTTTTTGGTAATTCCTTATCATCTTTAGATATGTGACATACGTTTCACAAGTTTAACAGTTCCGAGAGCAAATTCAGATTTGGGAAACCTACAAGGAAGCTTTGAAGAAGCAAAAAGCACCACATACATATTGAAAGCATGGCAGATGATTAATATGCAAAAAATTTGAAAACATGTAAATAATAAAATTAGCTCAAAATTTCTCAGCACACATTCACTGTAGAAATGAGCCTTTTACATGCAATAAATCTAAATAAGAATTCTTATTAGAATTTTTTTCAAGTTTTTCAATGACGCTATCAATAAAAAGTAAATTCGTATTAGTTATTTCATTTGCTTATCACCATATAGCTAAAATTTCAAATTATATTCAAGCATCATTCTTGTTTAGTTGGTACATTTTAAAAATACACAGCTATTTTAACTTTAATCATAACAAAATATTTTTAAAAGCACAATAAAATTCAACAGACAAGTGTTATAATAATGCATAATTACCACTCAGCTATAACAGCATTAATAACTATAGCTATGTCATAAATGATAGACTGTTAGCCATGCTGGTTTCATGCAAGTTAGATGTCAATTCTTTTGTCCAGAGAGCATTACAAAATTCAAGTGAAAATACAAAAAGGCAGCTACCAAGAAATTTCTCCAAATGCAATATACTGTATGATAATACAAAAGATATGCAATATAACTGTATGATAATACAAAAAATAGCTGTGTATTTTTGCATGATAATACAAAAGAGGTTGAAGTCCCAGCACTATAAAGCTATGGACAACAAGTGTGGCTAAGTTCAATCCCCAGCCAGGGAGCTGACCCACATGGCATGGCAGAATCTCCTGTCTCGCCCGTTGCTCCCCTCAATCTGCCTATTCTGCTCCCCTCTCTTTTTCTGGTGAATACACATACATACACCCCTGGCCTATACCCCAGCACTTCTATGAATAAATACATAAAATAAATCTTAAAATAAATAAGTCAATCATAGATTCAGGTTCTCAGCTACATGGTGCATAGTCAAATATTAAAGTAGTAAATAACTATTAGAATACTAATTTAAAATATTATGATTTTTGATTACTAGTCTTAAATTTCACACATTAATATATAACCTAAATGTGTACGAGAAAACATAAGTTAATGAATGTAGAAATCTCTAAAATAGTTACCTAAGAGCAATATTTTTCTTCTATAAATTAAAAAAATAAATTATACTAGTGATAAAATGAAAACATAAAATTTTGTAAATTAGAGCAATTAGATGACTAAAAATCCTCCCTAATAAAGACCCAATATAACATCACCAATGTTACACAATGACTTCTTCATTGATGAACAAAAAGTTCAAGTGGGACCAATATCAAACCATTACTTAATTAAAAAAAAACCTTTTTACTTGCTATTGCAACTCTATACAACATATGACAATTAACATATTTTGATGATGTTTGGTAGGATTAAAAGTGAGAACTAGGCCCTCCCTGGTGGCACAGGAGGTTAAAGCACAGCGTTGAGAAGCTAAAGCTACTACTTCAGCATAAGTTTGATCCCTGCCACAGGAGGTGATCCACACAGTGCAGCAAACCTCTCCTGACCTGCCCGCTGTTCCCCTCAGCAGTGTTCATCAATTCTGTCTGTTCTGCTCCCCACTCTGTCTCTGGTTAATCCTCTTACCCCCACACCTCTGGCCTGTACCCCAGTTCTATATGCATAAATAAATAAATCTTAAAAAAAGAAAACTATTGAGAACTTAACCTCTTTTTAAATGCCTCTTCAAATTTCAGCATAGATTTACCTACCTGGTTTTCATTTGGCTTTTCCTAGCAGCTGCTTCACTAGCGGTCATAGGTTCAGGAAGAGCTGAAGGAATGGAAGAATTCTTGAAAGAAAAAATAAAATTTTTCATTTTATTTTAATTGCAGAATGATGTATAAAATAAATACTATGACTATATTATTAAACTTGAAAAGTACTGTCTGTAAGGAACCACTAGTTTCAGCTCTAATATCTATAAAATTTTCACACTATGCTTGCCAGATCTAATATGCAAATATCATTGCATTTTACACAAATGTCATTTTCATATTCATCCACAGTAATACTCAGAAAATAAGCAGAACAATATTATAACCACTTTACAAGTAGGTCAGTCTTGGATAAAGAGAAAAATTACACTTGTAAAATATTGACTATTTCACATTTTAGAATGAAACCCACACTAATCATGAGTTTACTCATGTTTTTTCTTCGTAATGCAGGTAACTTACATGATAAAAGAAAGTAATGAAAGCAAAAATAGAAGGGTACACTGATGTGTCTATTCTTTATATTATATTTGCCTTACAGTAGTACTCAACAAATGTCTGTTGAATGAAAAGCTAAAAATCTAGTCAAATGTCAATGTCAAAAGCTAAAAATCTAGTCAAATGTCAGAACTGCATGACTTTCAGTTTCAACAGATAACATGTAACACTGACATAGCAAGAGCTTCCAAAAACTAAGAAGGAAAGGCGCTTAATTTCTTTATTTTTAATATCTTTTTAATTTAATTTCTTTACCTTTATATTTTATCTTTATAACCAACTCTGCTTCCCATGGACTAAAAACTGGGTTTTCTATCTATTAATTGTAACCCTTATAATTACTATCTCTTTTTTTACAGGAAAAAAAGGACATTAAGTAAATTCCCAAATTATATAAAGTCAATGACTAAGAGTTGAACCCAAATCTCTTCATTAATACCAATGCTCATTACACCAAAGTTGACTAAACTTTCACATTTTACAGAGTACTTAGTGACTCAATAATACATGACATCCCTAGACACGCATGCCTTGAAAACTCTAACAGTCTGTTTTAACAGTTAGACCCAAATAACTTACAGTAGTTTGTGCTGTGTAAAACAGTTATCACTGTTTCTTTGGAAAAAGTAGCATGTATCAAGCATATGAATAAAGAGTCATTTCTATATAATGCAGAATACTTTATAAGATACAAGAAAATAAAAGCAGAAGATCTGTTTTTCCTACAATATACAAAATGTCAGGCAATGACCTTGTGTCTACTGTAGCTGCTCAGGACACTGTAGTGCATTTGTCAACGGTGGTTTAATATCAAAAATGCTGATCGCAATCACACTACTAGACCATGTTTATGAAACAAGTACCTGCATAGGATATAACAGAATATTAATTCTATATTAATTAACAATTGAAAAATTACTTACATTGATATTAGAGACTGGGCAATCCTTTTTGGCAAATTTAAATGCAAAATAGGATACTTGAAATATATCAGGTCTATGATCTGGATCTGGTTCAAGCATAAATCCTACAAGAATAGTTGAAATGTTAAGTTTCAATGAACACCAAAGCTATTTAAGGGCAACTTAAAAGGGATGTGTATGTGTTATATTTGCATATATAAATATATATATATATATATATAAAACTTTCACTCTAAGACCACTAAATTCTAGGAACTGTGCTAATATTGTTAACAGAAACTATATTGCCAGTTTACACATAAAGCATTATCCTAAGTTAAAAGCAAATCTGTCACAGAACAGCACTACAGCAGAAATTATGACTGCAAATACAAATATTCCACTAAGAAAGTGATACAAAACAAAAAATGGGTTTAGAAAACAATGAGGCATTATTTTTAAAAATTCCAAGATTGTGTGCACGGGACAGGGGGGGCACACGGGGAATCCTTATTTCCACTGCTATCTAAAATACTTGTACTAATTTATAAGTGACCCTGAATCACTAAGAGAAGACCGAATATGTGCATTAGTATTTAACTAATCGTACAAGGTTTACACTAGTTTCCCAAAAACGCCTTTTCTCATGCTGATGCTAACAATACTCGTGGCAGTTCTGTATTGCCACATACTATCCATGTCATATTTAGAACTATGAGCAGAATTTTATGTTTTGTTATTATTTTAAGGAGATTTCACACCAGCATTGAGCAGCATTGACTGAAATGCTTAAATTGTAAATGACCAAAATTACCACTAACATTTTTCTTACTTCCTGAGTCTCTTGTAATTTAGAATTTTACAAGAAAGATGACATTTACATCCAAATCTGTAATTGAAAATTTGATGTTCTGTTAAGGCAACTTCAGGTTTTAACTCTGATTCACTCTAACTCTTAAGTCCCTATAATGTTCAAATCATTTTCAAACCTATTTGGAATGTAAACTTTTACAGAATTAGACAATATTCCAAAACCAATCAATTATGTTTAATGAGACCAAAGTATATAATGACCAAATTAAAATTAATTAAACTTTCAAGTTTAAGTAATATTTGAACAGAGTGCAATACACTTCTAACAGCATAATAGATTTAACCAAAAATTACTTGAGAGTTCTTAAAAAGGAAGCATTTAATTTATGTACTTAAAAAGGCTAGCTAGCATTTATAACTTCTTAGACTTATTTTAGTTATTTTATTCATATTGTTAGATAGAAAAAATTAAAGGCATTCAATTCTAAAATTTATCTATATTCAACCTTATTCCAGAAAAGATCTGAGGAATCTAGAAAGGTTATTTAAAATCCAAAATCATACTCTATCTTGATAAACAAAAACATATTTAAATGTTTTAAGTGACAACAGTACATGAAACTGAGACAAATTTAAGATACTTTTATGGTAAATTCTACTCATGTGCTTTTATAAAACAGTGCACAAAAGACATCAAATTCACAAACTTGGGACTCCTAGGTGTGTTGGCACTAAGTCTCAGCACTCTCCTGCTATCACCACTTCAACCTGAATTCGATCTCCCCAGCCAAGGAGCTGACTCTACGGTACATCAGGCCTCTCTAATATGACCTGCTGCCTCCCCTCAGCAGTGTATTTCTGTAGATCAAACTGTTCTGCTCCCAATTATGTATCTCTGGTGAATCCTCTCACCCACAATACCTCTGGCCTATATCTCAGTCTTCTATGGATAATAAGTTTTTAAATAAAATTCACAAACTTACGATTCTTTATTTCTTCTACTCAAACAGAAGTTTATTTGGCTTTCAAAATCTAACTTTAACAGTAGTACACTATAAATATAAGTTCACATGTCTTTTGCAGCAACATGGACAGAACTGGAAAACATCATGTTTACTGAAATAAGCCAGAAAGAAAAAGAGAAATACTGGATGGTTTCTCTCATAGTAGGAATATAATGGAACAGGTGAGAAAATAATGATAATGATTAACAGCTATACACCAGAGACATTTTGTGGGGGTAGAATGGGGAATGGGATCAAAAACAGTGAAGGAAGGGAAATGCACTGGATTATGGTGATGGCACATGGGTGATATGGTGATGGAAAGCCCAAAGGGATTGCAACTAAGATGGAAAAATACACAAAATTATGTAAAAATAAACTGTTATATCTAAAAAAGAAAATTTCTAAACAATGATATGTAGTGCTCTAGACAAAACATTGGTAATTTTAGATTGTAAGTTGTACCTTTAGTATAAAGGGAGATTATTTCTGAAGGATAGCTTGGAGCATACAGGAGGGTGTAAATTCAGTTATTCCTTTACTATTTTAAGCATACTGATCTAAACTCATAGTGACCAGCTGTTTGACTTATTTGTATATTGAAATAACACCTCTATTTTACTGAAGTAAATTTCATTATATAGGAAAAAATATATATAAATTCACAAGTCAACATAGGTAACTATTGAAATTATTAACAGTTCTGGCCCTCCCTGGTGGCACAGTGGGTTAAAACACAGCACTAAGAAGCTAAAGCCACTTTGCATGAGTTCGATTCCCGCCTGCTCCAGAGGTGACCACATGGTGTGACAGACCTCTCCTGACCCACCCGCTGCTCCCCTCAGCAGTGTACTTCGTCGATCTGCCTGTTCTGCTCCCCACTCTGTCTCTGGTAAAGCCTCTCACCGCCCCTGAGCCTCTGGCCTGTACCCCAGTTCTATATGCACAAATAAATGAATCTTAAAAAAAAATTTAATAACAGCTCAAACTAAGATTTTCTTAAATCTATGAGAAAATTAGGATAAGAGAAAAGTAAATGGCTGAGACACACAAAAAAGAAACTTTTAAAAAATTCAAGGATAATGATGTTTAGACATATGCACCTGCAACAGGCAGAGGTGGGCAGAAGGAAAGCTAATGCCAATGCCGAAATTCCATTGATAGGCCCTCCCTGGTGGCACAATGGATTAAAGCAAGCACTGCAAGCAAGTCACAGCCCTCCAATGTGAGTTCGATCCCTAGCCCCAGAGGTGATCCACACAGCGTGGCAGACCTCTCCTGACGCACCCATTGCTCCCCTCAGCAGTGTACTTTGTTAATCTGCCTGTTCTGCTCCCCAGTCTGTCTCTAGTGAATCCTCTCACCACCCCTGCACCTCTGGGTTGTACCCCAATTCTGTATAAATAAATAAATGAAATCGTTTAAAAACCAAATTTCCAAGTTGCATATGACGTGGTCCTATACATAAAAATTAGTCCTATAAAGTCAAAAATTTAGTTCTCTGCTTTCTACACATCAACACAAATCGGGCTACAAGACCCATAATATGAATCTCACAGTGTTCTTGACACACAAAAATAAGCCAAGTGCTATTCCTGATACTGAAAGCAAAAAGTAAACCCTCCTTTGCATCCTTCTAACGTGGCTTACAAAGAGGTGCCTATAACATATGGAACTTGTGAGTGACAAAGGGCCATGTCTTAAACACGTTCAGTGAGGACCAGTGACCTATCACCTAAATGCAGGTCAGTACAAGAAATTCCATGATACAGTACAAGAATATGCTTTCCTGATCTGACTTAATCTAAGAAAGCTTTTTAAATATTTAGAGAGGAACAGATGATCCTACAGGCAATCCTATACATCTTTTAATTTGGAGTCAAAGAGAAGCACTGAGGAGAAATAAATTTAAACATGTTTTCTAACCATTATCTATATATTTTATTCCATCTCAAGTTAAGCATTGCACAATATCCCCTAATGATTAGGTTAAATCCGGCTAGGAGCAGAATTGCTTGTGAACTGTTATCATAAGCAACTGAAAGGAGCTCTAATAGCACTTGCTCATGTTTTCCATGTGGTTCAACTTTTGTTATACCAGTTTAGTTGTCTAATTGTACTGATACCATTTATGTGACATAAAATCAACTTAAAAAGTCATGAGTAGCATTCACTGTTCATGAAATTTGTTTTGTGTGTGTGTTTGTATATGTACCAGGTAATACTATAATGCATTTTTTTAAAGATTTATTTATTTATGCTTACAGAACTGGGGTACAGGCCAGAGGTGCAGGGTGGGGAACAGAACAGCAGATCTAATGAAATATACTGCTGAGGGTAGCAGCAGGAGGTCAGGAGCAGTCTGTGACACCAGGTGGGTCAGCTCCCTGACCAGGAATTGAACTCATGCTGCAGTGGCTTTAGAGAGCTTCATAATGCTGTGTTTTAACCTACTGCACCCCCCGGGAGAGTCCTATAATGCATTTTTAACTAAAGGTCAGTCAAAATAGTTTGAACACCTGTGTACTACTGACCTCTTTTATGAACTACTATAACTCATTTCTCTCAAAGGGAAATCAGTTTTTCTAATAGATAGATCAATTACTTTCCAGTATACCTAAGACAGGGTGGGAGTAAACTTGGGGGCTGAAATTAAATTAACAGGTCCCTTTAACTTCAGATCTAAATATTGTGCTACAATCTGCTTTATCAACACCAAAGTGGACAGATTTATCTGACTATCTCCTGTGCCCGATCTTTGATTTGGTTCAAAATTTTAAGTTTAAGAAATTAAAGCCCGGGCCTCCCTGGTGGCGCAGTAGGTTAAAGCACAGCACTAAGAAGCTTAAGCCACTTCCACGTGAGTTCGATTCCCGCCTGTCCCGAGGAGATCCACATGGAGCAGCAGACCTCTCTTGACCCGCCCGCTGCTCCCCTCAGCAGTGTACTTCGTTGATCTGCCTGTTCTGCTCCCCGCTCTGTCTCTGGTGAATCCTCTCACCCTCAGCATCTCTGGCCTGTACCCCAGTTCTGTATGAATAAATAAATAAATCTTTAAAAAAAAAAAAAGCCCACAGTTAGAACATTCCTTTCCTGAATATCTGAGTCTTGCTACTAATAGGTATCATGAGACATTAAAAAAAAGAAAGAAAAGAAAAAATTAGTGAGGTAGTGAGGTATCTTTAAGCATTTAGTTTAAATAATCTCTTATTTAAATGTAAAATGCAAAATGTATTCCTAGATTACTGAATGATGTAATCTGGAGTGCAGAAGTACCAGCTCTAATCAGGCTAACCAGTAAAACATAG